CTGTGGCATAAATCTTTTCCTGCATTCATTACTTTAATATCTTGTTACAGTATTATATGAAGTGTATTCCATGTACTGATGTTGCACAGATTGCTTCTGGTTTACAATGAGTTAAGTAAGGTGCATAGTCACTGAGAGCGTTTAGTAACCTTACAGCAATTTGACAGAGCTAATTGATGTCCGTTAAATTCAGTAATAAAAAAAATAGGGGCTTTCATTTTGTATGTCTTTCTTTCCATTGCATTTTTCTGATAATCCAATTCTATTGCATTTTCTAAAGGTAATGGGCAACTACAGTTTGGAACGGTCCTTCGCCTTGGTTTGAGATGCACTGCACCAGTATCAGTCTGCTCAAGTTTAAATAAGACTCAGTAGACATTATAATTTTTTGACTCTAAATCAGTATGGATAAAACTATTCGAGTATGAAATAAAAGGGAGTCCCATATTTTCCCTAACAAGTAAAACATTTAAAAAATTAAGTATGAGTTCTCTGCTGTTATGAAAGGCATTTTCTAAAGGCCATTGTGCCCTCTTTACATTATGCGTAGGGTTTCCTCACTAATATGATTTCTCTGATGTAAAGTAAGCTGATCACTACGAATAAAGGCTTTCCCACATTCTTTACATTTATACGGTTTCTCACCAGTATGAATTCTGTGATGTCGAGTAAGTTCTGAATTAACACTAAAGGCCTTCCCACATTCTTTACATTTATAAGGTTTCTCACCAGTATGAATTGTGTGGTGTCGAGTCAGTTCTGCCTGAAGACGAAAGGCATTCCCACATTCTTTACATCCATAGGGTTTCTCACCAGTATGAAGTCTAAAATGTTGAGTAAGATGATATCTACGGCTAAAGGTTTTTCCACATTCCTTACATTCATATGGAATCTCACCAGTGTGAATTCTCTGATGTAAGGTAAGTTGATAACTACAAATAAAAGCATTCCCACATTCATTACATATGTAGGGTTTTTCACCAGTATGGATTCTGTGATGTTGAGTAAGATGATAGTGACGACTAAAGGTCTTCCCACATTCCTTACATTCATAGGGTTTCTCACCAGTATGAATTCTGTGATGTTGAGTAAGATGATTGCTACGAATAAAGGCTTTCCCACATTCCTGACATGTATAGGGTTTTTCACCAGTATGAATTCTGTGATGCTGAGTAAGTTCTGTTTGAAAACGAAAGGCCTTTCCACATTCTTTACATCTATAGGGTTTTTCACCAGTATGGATTTTATAATGTTGGGTAAGATTGTAGCGACGACTAAAAATCTTCCCACATCCCTTGCATTCATAAGTGTTCTCACTGGTGTGAATTCGCTGGTGTGAAATAAGTTGATTGCTACAAATAAAGGCCTTCCCACATTCCTTACATTCACAGGGTTTTTCACAAGTGTGAATTCTGTGATGTCGGGTAAGTTCTGCTTGAAGACGAAAGGCTTTCCCACATTCTTTACATCCGTAAGGTTTCTCACCAGTGTGAAGTCTGTAATGTTGAGTAAGATGATAGCGACTACTGAAGGTTTTCCCACATTCCTTACATTCATAGGGAATCTCACCAGTATGAGCTCTCAGATGTAAAGTAAGTTGATAGCCACAAATAAAGGCCTTCCCACATTCCTTACATTCATAGGGTTTTTCACCAGTGTGGATTCTATGATGCCGAGTAAGTTCTGTTTGAAGACGAAAAGCTTTTCCACATTCTTTACATTCATAGGGTTTCTCATCAGTATGAATTCTCTGATGCCGAGTACGTTCTGCATGAAAACTAAAGGACTTACCACATTCTTTACATTCATAAGGTTTCTTACCAGTATGAATTTTCTGATGTTGAACAAGGTAAGAGACATGACTAAAGGCCTTTCCACATTCATTACATTTATAGGGTTTTACATCAGTATGAATTTTCTGATGTTGACTAATATGTCGTTGCACTCTAAAGGTCTTTCCACAAATCTTACATTCATAAGGCCTCTCACCAGTATGAATTCTTTGATGTTCAGTAAGTTGATAATGAAGTCTAAAGGCCTTCCCACATTCTTTACATGCATAAGGTCTCTCCCCAGCATGAATTGTCTGATGTACTCTGAGGTCTCTAATACGACCAAAGGCCTTCCCACACTCCTTGCACTCAAAGGGCTTCACACCAGAATGTATTCTCTGATGTTCAGTAAGGTGATAATGAAGTCTAAATGTCTTCCCACAATCGTTACACTCAAAGGGTCTCTCCCCAGCATGAATTGTCTGATGTACTCTAAGATCTCCCACACGACAAAAGGCCTTCCCACACTCCTTACATTTATAGGGTCTCTCACCAGTGTGAATTCTTAGATGCTGAATAAGGTATGACTGTTGTCGGAAAGCTTTCCTACATTCCTTACATTCATATGATTTCTCTCTAGAATGAATTTTCTGATGTAGAGGAAGAGATACATGTTTTTGGATTATCATTTGACTAAGGCATCCCATCTGATGTCTTTCTTGTCTTTCAAATTCATGTTTACACTGCAAATCATTTCTGAAAATGGTATCCTCAAGGAGGTAGGCTTTACTTTTTTCCACTGTCTTCAGTTGAGATAAATATATTTCACAAATATCCTTTTCTGGAAATAACTTCTTGGTGACATACTTAGACTCCAAATCTGAAAAAAGCAAAAAGGAAACAAATTCCCTAATGTGGTTTTTCTGTGTTGGGGGTAGGATGAGAGGTTGCATCTCAGAGTAAAAATAAAAGATAAACTAAAAGTAACACAGTAGTAAAGGTTTAGGGCAGAGGTCAGCAAACTTTTCCTGGAGAGTGCCACATAATAAAAATTTTAGGCATTTTAGGGCATATGGTCTTAGTCACAATTACTCAGCTCTGCTGTTACAGCACAAAAGCAACCATAGACAATATTTAATTGAATGAGTGCAGCTATGTTGTAGTAACACTTTCTTTATGGGCACTGAAATTGGAATTTCATAACATTTTTATGTATAACAAAATACTCTTGATTTGTTCTCAACCACTTAAAAATGTAAAAACCAGTTTTAGCCTGAGCCATACAGGAGCAGATGATGAGTTATCTGTAGTTTGCTGGATTTGAGAACTCTAAATTACTGTAATGCTATTTGAAAGAAGGCAAAAAGACCTCAGAAAATGATGTGACTTTAAAAAAAGGGTAAACTGGGTGATGAGAGGAACAAGTCAAGTCAGTGGTCCTCCTCTTTAGGGTGGCTGTTTACATACACTTATCTTTACATATCCTTACATCTGCTTTTTGGGCACCAACCTGGACAAACTGAATCATAGTCTGTAGAAACAGCCCTGGATATCTTGAATCATTTTCATCAGATGATACTGATGCAAATCATTTTAAGACTCTACTCAAATTTTTTTTCCCAAAGGTTTCTCTTTGCCCTTAGAATAAAATCCAAATGTATTACCACAGATAAATATATTACCACCATATTACCCAGCTGATCTGTAAGACCTGTGGAAGCCACTTCAACTTTGTAATCCAATTCTATTGCATTTTCTAAAGGTAATGGGCAACTACAGTTTGGAACGGTCCTTCGCCTTGGTTTGAGATGCACTGCACCAGTATCAGTCTGCTCAAGTTTAAATAAGACTCAGTAGACATTATGATTTTTTGACTCTAAATCAGTATGTATAAAACTATTCGAGTATGAAATAAAAGGGAGTCCCATATTTTCCCTAACAAGTAAAACATTTAAAAAATTAAGTATGAGTTCTCTGCTGTTATGAAAGGCATTTTCTAAAGGCCATTGTGCCCTCTTTACATTATGCGTAGGGTTTCCTCACTAATATGATTTCTCTGATGTAAAGTAAGCTGATCACTACGAATAAAGGCTTTCCCACATTCTTTACATTTATACGGTTTCTCACCAGTATGAATTCTGTGATGTCGAGTAAGTTCTGAATTAACACTAAAGGCCTTCCCACATTCTTTACATTTATAAGGTTTCTCACCAGTATGAATTGTGTGGTGTCGAGTCAGTTCTGCCTGAAGACGAAAGGCATTCCCACATTCTTTACATCCATAGGGTTTCTCACCAGTATGAAGTCTAAAATGTTGAGTAAGATGATATCTACGGCTAAAGGTTTTTCCACATTCCTTACATTCATATGGAATCTCACCAGTGTGAATTCTCTGATGTAAGGTAAGTTGATAACTACAAATAAAAGCATTCCCACATTCATTACATATGTAGGGTTTTTCACCAGTATGGATTCTGTGATGTTGAGTAAGATGATAGTGACGACTAAAGGTCTTCCCACATTCCTTACATTCATAGGGTTTCTCACCAGTATGAATTCTGTGATGTTGAGTAAGATGATTGCTACGAATAAAGGCTTTCCCACATTCCTGACATTTATAGGGTTTTTCACCAGTATGAATTCTGTGATGCTGAGTAAGTTCTGTTTGAAAACGAAAGGCCTTTCCACATTCTTTACATCTATAGGGTTTTTCACCAGTATGGATTTTATAATGTTGGGTAAGATTGTAGCGACGACTAAAAATCTTCCCACATCCCTTGCATTCATAAGTGTTCTCACTGGTGTGAATTCGCTGGTGTGAAATAAGTTGATTGCTACGAATAAAGGCCTTCCCACATTCCTTACATTCACAGGGTTTTTCACAAGTGTGAATTCTGTGATGTCGGGTAAGTTCTGCTTGAAGACGAAAGGCTTTCCCACATTCTTTACATCCGTAAGGTTTCTCACCAGTGTGAAGTCTGTAATGTTGAGTAAGATGATAGCGACTACTGAAGGTTTTCCCACATTCCTTACATTCATAGGGAATCTCACCAGTATGAGCTCTCAGATGTAAAGTAAGTTGATAGCCACAAATAAAGGCCTTCCCACATTCCTTACAGTCATAGGGTTTTTCACCAGTGTGGATTCTATGATGCCGAGTAAGTTCTGTTTGAAGACGAAAAGCTTTTCCACATTCTTTACATTCATAGGGTTTCTCACCAGTATGAATTCTCTGATGCCGAGTACGTTCTGCATGAAAACTAAAGGACTTACCACATTCTTTACATTCATAAGGTTTCTTACCAGTATGAATTTTCTGATGTTGAACAAGGTAAGAGACATGACTAAAGGCCTTTCCACATTCATTACATTTATAGGGTTTTACATCAGTATGAATTTTCTGATGTTGACTAATATGTCGTTGCACTCTAAAGGTCTTTCCACAAATCTTACATTCATAAGGCCTCTCACCAGTATGAATTCTTTGATGTTCAGTAAGTTGATAATGAAGTCTAAAGGCCTTCCCACATTCTTTACATGCATAAGGTCTCTCCCCAGCATGAATTGTCTGATGTACTCTGAGGTCTCTAATACGACCAAAGGCCTTCCCACACTCCTTGCACTCAAAGGGCTTCACACCAGAATGTATTCTCTGATGTTCAGTAAGGTGATAATGAAGTCTAAATGTCTTCCCACAATCGTTACACTCAAAGGGTCTCTCCCCAGCATGAATTGTCTGATGTACTCTAAGATCTCCCACACGACAAAAGGCCTTCCCACACTCCTTACATTTATAGGGTCTCTCACCAGTGTGAATTCTTAGATGCTGAATAAGGTATGACTGTTGTCGGAAAGCTTTCCTACATTCCTTACATTCATATGATTTCTCTCTAGAATGAATTTTCTGATGTAGAGGAAGAGATACATGTTTTTGGATTATCATTTGACTAAGGCATCCCATCTGATGTCTTTCTTGTCTTTCAAATTCATGTTTACACTGCAAATCATTTCTGAAAATGGTATCCTCAAGGAGGTAGGCTTTACTTTTTTCCACTGTCTTCAGTTGAGATAAATATATTTCACAAATATCCTTTTCTGGAAATAACTTCTTGGTGACATACTTAGACTCCAAATCTGAAAAAAGCAAAAAGGAAACAAATTCCCTAATGTGGTTTTTCTGTGTTGGGGGTAGGATGAGAGGTTGCATCTCAGAGTAAAAATAAAAGATAAACTAAAAGTAACACAGTAGTAAAGGTTTAGGGCAGAGGTCAGCAAACTTTTCCTGGAGAGGGCCACATAATAAAAATTTTAGGCATTTTAGGGCATATGGTCTTAGTCACAATTACTCAGCTCTGCTGTTACAGCACAAAAGCAACCATAGACAATATTTAATTGAATGAGTGCAGCTATGTTGTAGTAACACTTTCTTTATGGGCACTGAAATTGGAATTTCATAACATTTTTATGTATAACAAAATACTCTTGATTTGTTCTCAACCACTTAAAAATGTAAAAACCAGTTTTAGCCTGAGCCATACAGGAGAGGATGATGAGTTATCTGTAGTTTGCTGGATTTGAGAACTCTAAATTACTGTAATGCAATTTGAAAGAAGGCAAAAAGACCTCAGAAAATGATGTGACTTTAAAAAAAGGGTAAACTGGGTGATGAGAGGAACAAGTCAAGTCAGTGGTCCTCCTCTTTAGGGTGGCTGTTTACATACACTTATCTTTACATATCCTTACATCTGCTTTTTGGGCACCAACCTGGACAAACTGAATCATAGTCTGTAGAAACAGCCCTGGATATCTTGAATCATTTTCATCAGATGATACTGATGCAAATCATTTTAAGACTCTACTCAAATTTTTTTTCCCAAAGGTTTCTCTTTGCCCTTAGAATAAAATCCAAATGTATTACCACAGATAAATATATTACCACCATATTACCCAGCTGATCTGTAAGACCTGTGGAAGCCACTTCAACTTTGTTCTCAATCTATTATTGCAATGCAACCTTTCAGATCCTATAATATGCCACAACTTTTCCTATATCTTAAAGCTTTTTACAGGCTACTTCCTCTCCCAGGAATCCTCTGGCTTTTGTTTTTGCCTGGCTGGCTCCTTCTTACCCTCATGTCTCAGGTTAAATGTCACTTCCTTAGAAAGGCTGTCCCTACTAAGCACATCTAAGTCAGTGCATGTTCTTCATTCCATATTCCAGCCCTAGTACTGTGACTTTTCTCAATTATGTATCATTAATTTTCTCATTAATCTGTTGTTCTGTGCACTTTCTTATACTTAAAATTCCTTGTGTACAGACACAATCTGTTTCAATTCCTGCCACTGAATAACAACCTCTAACACACAGTAAATGTTAAATAATTGTAGAACAAATAAACTATTGGATTAAAAAGTACTTAGGATGAGAATAAAAGTAAATACTACAAGTCACTGAAGAAGGCAGCTGAGTATAATTTCCCCAAATCACATCACAATTATATCTTCCCTACTCTTTCACCCTACTACAGTGATTAAATATATTCTCCTACATCACTTACCTTACAAAGGGGAGCAAATGTACATCCAAGATTGCTCAGTCAAAAGCATAAATGGAAAAATGTCAATTTTATACCTCGACATTCTCCAATTACCTGTTGTTCCCTCAAACACAAGATATCTCTACCACTGTTTACAATTTCCCTGTGCATAGCCAGTTTTGCTTTTCTTTGTCCCCAACTGAAGTACTGAGATGATTTATTTAGTAAATGTCAACTGAGTTTTATTATTCACTGTGGGGAAATTGGGATCCTATGGCCAGGATCCTCACTGAACTTAAACCACCTGATGATGTAACTGGCCTGTTGCTAGGCTACTGCTTCCACACCTGTAGGCAATAAGCTATTACTGCACTATATAGAGAGCTCAGCCTAGTGCTCTGGGCAGAGGGAGAACAAGCCAGGTAATAAACCCTTTCACCCCAAGAACATTCTACTATCATTTCTTTGGTTACAGTGAATCCATAGTGAACTTGCCCAGGGCTGAAACCCATTGACAAGACATATCACTCATTCTACAAATGCTCAAACTCATTTATTTTTGTTCCATAATTATACTGTAGGTCCTAGCTAGTAGAATAAGGCAAGGAAAATGATATAAAGATTAGAAAGGAAGAAAATAAAAGTCATTATTTCCAGACACAGTGGGTTGAATGGGGGCCTCCAAAAAGATATGGCCAAGTCTTTACTCCTAGTACCTGTGAATATGACCTAATTTGGAAAAAGAGTCTTTACATATTGATTAAGGATTAAGTTCAGAATCTTGAAATAATATCATTTTAGATTAAGTGTAAGCCCTAAATACAATGACAGATATACTTGTAAGAATGAGGCAGATGGAGATTAGACCCCAGACAAAAGAAAAGGTGAACTTGTCAAATTGTACACTTTAAATATGTGCAGTTTATTGTAAGCCAATTATACGTCAACTATTTAAAATAGTTATAGAACTTGACACTTTAAATCGGCGCATTTTATATTAATGTAATTATACCGCAATACATGTGTTTAAGAAAATATACCTGTCCTATGACTCAGGAATTCCACTTCTATATATTCCCAAGGGAAATGAAAACATAGGAACACACAAATAGTTGTATAAGCATGTTCAGATCAGCTGGCACAATCTGGTTTGCAAAGGAACACAGATGACATCTGATCTCAAAACTTTGCGTTTGTTGTTTACTGTGCTCAGAATGCTCTTGAACATTCCCATGGCCTGAGACCTTACATCATTAGCTCTGTTCAAAGGTTACTGCCTCATAATGGCCTTTGTTGATATTACCTAAATTAGCCTTGCCAACCCTCTAACATTTTGTCTCCTTCCCTGCTTAACTTTCTTCATAATACATATCAAATCCCAATATTATCTTATCTGTTTACCTGTTTACTACATGTCTCCCTTACTATAATAGCAACACCTTCATTATGGCAGGAACCTCTATCCACAGTCCCTAGACTCCAGCACAGTGCCTGGTTTCAAGTAAATGGGAAATATGTATTGAATAAAATAATTTTGGGCAATGGAGAAATAAATATAAGTGTAACTATAAAAGAGGACTTGGAAACAGATAAAATGGTTATCAATGGAGAAGAAAGCAAGCAGTCTCTTCTTTGAAATGGGAAGGAAATAGAACAGAAGAGAAAGAGGACCTTGGTAAATGGGGGTAAAGACAGAGTTCCTTTAATATCTCATGTTGAGAGGATCTTTATGTTTCCCAGTTCCAGGCCCTTCCTCTACAGGCCTTGGTCTTTGAAGGGAGCTTTTCAAACATGATGTCAGGTGTTTGCCTGTCCCTGACCCACGGGCTATAACTTGTGATGGTATGACCCAGACTTGCTGTCACTCACCTGTGTACCAGCTTCTTGTCCCTTCTCTCATTACCATCCAGGGCTCTTTTTCTTGCTCTAATAAAGTAATGACCTCTGGTTTAGCAATGGAACATCCTGCTGACGAGAGAAATGCAACATGATTTGGAACAAACAAACAAAATCCCATAAGCTCAAAATGACAATTCAGAACTAATTAATTTATATTCAACTGTAGGTCAAAATGGTATTTGATAAAATGAAAAAGGCTATTAAAGAATATCAACATTTAGATGGATTCATGATCATAGACCTAAAGAGGCCAGACAGGGGAAGGAAAAGGTCTGCTTTTGAAGTCGGTATAGAAAGGCATTGAGAACATAGACTTTGGAGCCCTGGGTTCAAATCTTCAGCAACCCACTAGCTGTATGACCTTGAAGAGTTACTTACCCTCTATGTGTTGTATTTTCATCAAATGCAAATGGGTCTAATAGTACCTACTTCCTAGGGCTATTGTGGTAATTAAATGAATTAATATATATAAAGGCCTTAAAGCAACCTACAGATTCAATGCAATCCCTATCAAAATACCAAAAGCATTATTCAACGAACTAGAGCAAATAGTTCTACAGTTCATATGGAACCACAAAAGACTATGAACAGCCAAAGCAATCCTGAGAAGGAAGAATAAAGCTGAGGGGATTATGCTCCCTGACTTCAAGCTCTACTACAAAGCCACAGTAATCAAGACAATTTGGTACTGGCATAAGAACAGACCCATAGACCAATGAACAGACTAGAGAACCCAGATATAAATCCAAGCATATATGGTCAATTAATATATGATAAAGGAGCCATGGACATACAATGGGAACATGACAACCTCTTCAACAACTGGTGTTGGCAAAACTGGACAGTTACATGTAAGAGAATGAAACTGGATTATTGTCTAACCCCATACACAAAAGTAAACTTGAAATGGATCAAAGACCCAAATGTAAGTCATGAAACCATAAAACTCTTAGAAGAAGACATAGTCAAAAATCTCTTGAATATAAACATGAGCAACTTTTTCCTGAATGCATCTCCTTGGGCAAGGGAAACAAGCAAAAATGAACAAATGGGACTACATCAAGGGAAAAGCTTCTGTACAGCAAAGGACATCTTCAGCAGAACAAAAAGATATCCTACAGTATGGGAGAATGTATTTGTAAATGACATATCCAACAAGGGGTTCACATCCAAAATATATAAAGAACTCACATGCCTCAACACCCAAAAAGCAAATAACAAAAAGTGGGAAGAGGATATGAACAGACAGTTCTCCAAAGAAGAAATTCAGATGGCCAACAGACACATGAAAAGATGCTCCACATTGCTAATTATCAGGAAAATGCAAATTAAAACCACAATGAGATATCACCTCACACCAGTTAGGATGGCCAACATCAAAAAGACTAGGAACAACAAATGTTGGCGAGGATGTGGAGAAAGGGGAACCCTCCTACACTGCTGGTGGGAATGTAAACTAGTTCAACCATTGTGGAAAGCAATATGGAGGTTCCTCAAAAACCTAAAAATAGAAATACCATTTGACCTGGGAATTCCACTCCTAGGAATTTACCCAAAGAAAACAAGTTCTCAGATTCAAAAAGACATATGCACCCATATGTTTATCACAGCACTATTTACAATAGCCAAGAAATGGAAGCAACCTAAGTGTCCATCAGTAGATGAATGGATAAAGAAGAGGTGGTGCATATACACAATGGAATACTATTCAGCCATAAGAAGGAAACAAATCCTACCATTTGCAACAACAGGGATGAAGCTAGAGGGTATTACGCTCAGTGAAATAAGCCAAGCAGAGAAAGACAAATATCAAATGATTTGCCTCACATTTGTGGAGCATAACAATGAAGCAAAACTGAAGGAACAAAACAGAAGCAGACTCACAAACTCCCAAGAAGGGACTAGCAGTTACCAAAGGGGAGGAGTGGGGGAGGGCTGGTGGGGAGGGAGGGAGAAGGGGATTGAGGGGTATTATGATTAGTACACATGGTGTTGGGGGGATCATGGGGAAGACAGTGTAGCACAGAGAAGACAAGTAGTGACTCTGGCATCTTACTACACTAATGGATGGTGACTTCAATGGGGTATGTGGGGGACTCAATAATATGAGTGAATGTAGTAAGCACATTGTTTTTCATGTGAAAACTTCATGAGTGAATATCAATGATATCTTAATAAAAAATTATATATATATGAAGGCTTAAAAGGATGTCTAATATAGTCTTACATTTGTTGTTCTTGTTAAAAGAGAGACTGTTCTCTAAAATACTTCCAGGTTCTTCCTCAAATATTCTTTCAAAGGAAAATGAAAAATTCACAGACTGTAACTTTCACCCACAAAGTAATTTAAAGAGAGTATGTCTCTTCTAGGATAGGATGTGTTTGCTTGAATTTTAAGTGGATATTGTTAATCCAATCCACCACTGTACAAGCATAGATGCTCTTTTGATGATCAAAGAAAACCAGAACCCTGAGACTCACTGATTTCTCTGCAGGTGGGCCAGACACTAACATAGAGCAGCTATAGGAATTCTGAGCATACATAATGAAATCTGGCTTCCCTGAAAATGCTGTAGAACTCAAATCTGGGAATAGTTTAGAAAAAAAAGCAATTGCAGGAAGGGCCAGAGAGAGGAGTAAAGGTCAGTAAAAGATGGAGAAGATGAAGGCACTTAACCCAAGTGTCCATTTCCAGCTCAACATGTCTTTTGATATAGGGAGTGGGGCAGAAATTAATATGGTTTCTTAAAACAGAGCTCTGAAATTCAACAATGGAGAAAACATATTCCAGAAAACAGATTATAAATTGTTTGTGCAGACATCCTTACCCAATGAGTTCAGGTTGCTGTAGTTCTCCAACATCACATCCCTGTACAGGACTCTCTGGGCAGGGTCTAGGCACTCCCACTCCTCCTGGGAGAGGTCTATGGCCACATCTCTGAATGCTAAGGACATCTGAAATGACAGACCCATGCTTCATAAACATTGTTTTAAACGGTGTTTTCAAGATGGAAAACTGCTTTGCAGGAAAGTGGCAACACAACAAGCCAGTAAACTAGAGTTCAAGCCTGTGACATGTAGAGAATAGTAAGGAAATTAGTATTTCTACAGTGGAGTGCCTATATGCTTTCAAAATATACTGTGTACAAACAAAATGCCCTGTGTACCACGGGATAACATAATTATCCAAAGGTCTGGAAATGAATAAAATAAAGTTTCCAATGAAATCATATAAATAAGCCACTGCATATCATGGGACTGCATGTTATTCCAAATAAATGTGAGTTCCAGTTTCTTTTCCCTTCAAGGAATTTTAAAAAAAGCATGAATTCTTTTTCCCCAAAAGTACTTTAAAATCTCTATCATAGAAAATAGGACTTGACTGATATTAATTTCACTAAAACTCAGCTTCATCATTATGCAAGATAATGTCACATGCATTATCTTTTTCATTTTTCCTTGTAACAAATGACCAAGTCTTTAGGTAATTAACTTATTGGCTGGCTAATCATCCATTCTCTGGCTGTTTCAGACTAATCCTTTCATATTTAGGCAGTTAGGTTGGACAAAATGTCTATGGTCTTCCCAGTCCTGTGAGCCTATTTTCCATCCCCCATTAGGGATCTGGAGGATCCTCCTACCCGCTACCACCATTCCTCGGGAATGCTCACCTTGACCCGGAACTAGAGGATGCCAATGCAGGCTGATCTACAATGACACTGATACCACTGGAGGCCAGCACAACCTCTGCAACCTCAAAATTGACCTTTGTCCTGCTGTCTGTCCCTCTAGGGACCCCCTGGCTAGATCCCTGAAATCCCCACATGCAGGCCTAATCACACTCCAATCTAGTCCTATAGGCCTCTCCAGGTAGGAGCTCTTGCTCACACTGAACATGCAGTGCTAAATGCTATCTCATTAACTGGCAAAGCTCAGGTCTGTGGAATCTAATGGGACCATCATCTCTGTGTCATGGAATCATGACTCTAACGAGAGAAGTTCCAATATTCCCCTCAAGGGAAATACCGGAAAGGGGCCTTTCACTGCTCCACCAACGCTCCTGAGAGAGACTGGGAACACAAGATGGTAAATACATAAGAGACAAGACTGGCAGTTGAGGAGGATGCTAGGTTGGTGGCGCCATCCTTCACTGTGATCTAGTAACTGGGGAGCAGGTTCTACAAGAGGGTTTCTTAAGAAGGAACTCTCAGGATAATAAAAATGATCACATGAATTTAAACCATGATATTTCAAGGAGGAGAAATGAGAACTTACATGGGCCATGGTTTTAGAACTGCAAGAACTTGTCAGTCCTCTTTGGGCTTCCTCCACTGGAGAAGCACAGAATCCAGAGAAGCCAAGACTGGAGAAGGAACAAGAGGCTTTGAGACCAGGCGTGTCTCAGAAATCCAAAAATGACTTAAACTAATATGATCCTGTTTTGCCTTCTTTCTGCTTCCATCCCTGCAATGCCCCACATACAAGAGAGAGAAGGGGGAGTTTGGATAAAGCCTCCCCACCCCACTATATCATTGGGAACCACCTGCACAAGTGTAGACACAGGGCAGAGGACTCCTGCCTGAAGCCAGACTAGACCCCAGCAGAAGGGTCTCTGGCCCACCCCAATTTCTGATGATGATCAAGACCAAATTGTCAAGTCCTACCCTGAGCAGATCCTCTACTGTCCATATCTACCTTCTAGAGCTGAGAAGGGGTGGCAGTTCCATCTAAACCCAAATATCTTTCATGGCTCAGGTATGTATCTGGACTCTGCAGCCACACAGGCAGAAAACAGCAGGCAGCCTTTCCCACTGCAAAATATATCTACCAATACGGAGTCCTTCCCCAGCTAGAATGACAGCTCCCAGAATCCTCTGGGCTGTTTCCAACCAACCTCTATTTCCTAGTCAGAATCATCTATGCTGCTTTCCTGCAGGAAGTCACTGACCAGCCCAATGTTTCAATATCAAGGTTGTAGACGTGTGAATTCATGCCCAGGGTTGCAAGGTGATAACAAAAACAGATACTTTTAGTATCTTCTACATGATGGGCCCTTTATTAATCATTTTAACTATTAAACATTGAATCATGCGGTATAGTTAATGTCCATTCAACAGATAATGGAGGCTCAAAGTAAAGTTCCTTACTCAAATTCAGTTAGATGCAGAGTGTTTTGAATCCACATTTCTCTAAATATAAAGCCAATTCCCTAAACTCTATCCCAGAATTTCTCCCTTTGACTGAAACTTGAGCATAGGTAATTCACTAAAAAATAACATATCATCCATCCAGGTTACTAAATTTCAATACAATTAACAAGATCTTTGTTAAAGAAATAAGGAAGTCACAGTTTACAATTATTAGATCAGCAGGTTTAAAAGACTGATGATATGCCATATGAGTGAGGTCAGGGGAAAGAGATATTTTGGTAGATGCTATAGACTTGTGCAGCCTTTAAATAGAACATTTGAAAGTATGTAAAAGAATTTAACCATACAAAGTTCTGGGACTTTGTCCAGTGGAAACTATTGTAAATGTGTATTAAGATGCATGCAGGGATGGCAGTATTCAGTACTGAGGCCAGCAATAGTTATCTGGTTAAGTAAATTACAGTTTGTCTGTGTAATGGAATATTAAGTAGATATTAAGTTCTGTACTACATTGGAGAAAATATTTAAAGGATATGGAAAATATTCAGGATATATTATAAATAGAAAAATCAGCTTTAAAACCAGAACGTACAATATGATTATATATGTAATAAAATACACACCTGTGCACACACACACACAAACACATACATATATGAGAAAGAATGAATGAGAAGCAGACAGGCAGAAGTCAAAATAGAGAAAAATCCATGTTATATATCTGTATATTAAAACTGCTGACTTGTATTACATATTTTTGATAATTGTATTTGCTTAAGTATAATCCATATTTAAAAACAATTTTAAATATGCACATAGGCATGTACATATTTATTTCATTTTTATAAGAGAAAGCTCTTCCTTTTTAAAACAATTGTCTTCGTATAAACAGCTCAAGGTAATCTAAAAACAGCTGTTACATACTTTTTTGAGTGCCTTTACTTCCTTTAGCTGCTCATACCTGTTTTTTTACACATGCCCATGTTCTGAATGTACTGCAGTGTCTTCTACATATCCAGGCTGGTCTCCTTTCCCATACTCCTGACAGATGTATTCCTGATAGTTTATTTTGCTCTGAAACTGTCCTTTCAGCCACAATATCCTCCAAACTGCTTCTGAATAATCTTGTCCCATTAGTTTTACTTGGAATCTAACACCATTAGAATGAAACCTGTGAGACAGGAAGTTGTGCTGTCCAATTTGATAACCAACAGTGACATATGGCTATTTAAATCAAATTTTAAATTAAGCAAAATTAAGATTAAAAGTTCGGTTCCTCAGTTGTACTAGCCATATTTCAGGTGCTCAACAAGCACATGTGACTAGTAGCCACCATACTGGAAAATGTAGATATAGAACATATCCATCATCACAGAAAGTTCTAGTAGAAAATGCTTGTATGAAGCATACGGCATAAAATCCATTTATTGCCATAGAGCTCCCCTGAATTCAGAATAATTTAGTTAAGACCTGACAGAGGTGGCTAGAGAAATAATATCTCCTTCCTATGAACCACCAAGGCATGTGACCTGAATTTCTCTAGTGACTTTTATTACCTTCTATCATACTCAGTCTGTTCTCTCGTTTTTATATTATTTGCTGTATTAGAAGAAACGAGTAGCAACTATGTTTCCAGAGCTGTATTCTTCTAATTACTATCATAAGATACAGTATACTATGAGCCCTTGTCTGATATTTTACCAAAACTCAATTTTTAGGCAGTCCTTCTTAGGAAATGTCTATGAAAGCACATTCAGGTATATTCATAAGATGTATATCATATACCAACTTAGAATAACCAAATATAGATATAAATAGCTATAGGAGGCAACAGGTTAAATTATGGTCAGTTATGATGGCACACTAGGGCCTTATTAATAGTGATTATATTGGTCCACATTTATTGTGGGAGAAAGACATGTTGAATTAAGAAAGTATGTAAAATTATGGGAGGGCTTATAATGTCATTAATCACAGACTGATTTTAGACCTTCAGTCTGACATCTCTAACTTTTCAGTTAGGTTTTTTGATAAGCTAGGGATAAGAACAATCTCTTAAAGTTGTCATAAAAATACATATATGACATTTGATGATACATAACTACTTAATAAAAATTAAATAGTATTATTCTATTCTAATTGTATTCTCTTGTTATTAAGTAAAATTATCTTCCGCTCTTTCCTTTTTTATAGTAAAATTTGAGTCTCATGCCCAACTTTTTTAAAACGACATTTAAAATATTTTAGAGCCAAGCCTTGGAAATGAAATTAGTTTTAAGTAACAACATTAGCAAAATAGATTCTCAGAAAACTAACCAAGAAATCTGCCTTTGTCTACCAAAGAGGAGACACCGTTCTTCAGCATAATGCAAACAAAAGAATCTAATAAAGCATTAAACAGAGCTTTAATAAGAGATTCAGTCTTATTTCCCTGTCCTATAAAAGATTTATATGAGTATTTATATAGCTGTTACCATCTCACTGTTTTCTATTATTACAGATCTGTCCTGCAAAATGTTATTTGCGTAATGGAGCTTTAAAAGATACTTAGACAGGAGAGGGGATCCCTATGTCCTGTGAAAACAGCCTTCTTAAAAAAACTTTAAAAAAGTACAATCCTGAATCCTGTAGTCCTATCTTATTTTATATATCTTGTGCCATGATAATTACTCTTAATTGTTTCTATAATCCTAAAAGGTTAATGTATCAAACCAGAGGAGTTCACTGACACTTTGCTCTTCTCCATATATCATGGAAATGTAAGAGACCTATGGTTAGGTAGAATTACTTTTTCTAATTAAGAGCTGGAGAGTCTGTGTCCTTTGAATGTTCAATTAGTATAATTTCTATTCTGCAGAAACCAACACACACACACACACACATACAAAGTACACAGAAAAATTCTGCTATAATATACCTCCCGAAAATATTAATAGTGATTCAGGGGCTGTTTTAATTTTCTTCTTTGTAAGTCTCTCATGTAACATAACTGAATAACTCAGTGTTTTGCAAAAGTGAGCATTCGTTCCATAATCTTAGGTATTTAATAAATCTATATCCAGTTTTAAAATATTCTAAAATATTGGAAGTAAACTGGTTTGACATGTGGGAACAGTAAGGAAATCAGTGTGACCATTACAAATAAAGCGTACCAGTTCTTTAACATTCTTCTTCAATACACTGTGACCTTTTTACTGCCAAGATTCTTCTCTGAAAGAACAGAAGTTGGGTGAAGGGCACCTGCAGACTGAATAAGAAAATTTGAGTGAAGTAGACAGAACAATGTTGGGCTCTACCTCTATTTCTCCACTGCATAATCAATTGAAATATCACTTTGGATATAATCTTTGTAAAGTGTCTTTGAATCCCAATATTAGTAAAAGAAATTCATATAATATTTAAAATAGTATTATTGTTCATCAATATGAATATTACTCATGTACTTTTTTCCCTTATGTTAAACTTGTTATAAACATAAATCTCAACCCCTTGATTCCCTGGAAAAATTCCTGCCAGAGATGACAGATTTCTGTGTTCAGACTTCCAATTATATTCCAACTCCTAAAAGCTTTAAAAAGCAGATGACTATGTCATATGTCACTTACTGACACTAGTCAAATCACCTCTGATACTGCCTTACTTTTAAAATGAGTTTTTGTGAATAAACCAACCAGAAAGAGACTCATAAACACACAGAACAAACTATTGGTTACCATAGGAGAGGGGAGTGGGAGGGTGGGCAATGAAGGTGAAGGGGATAGAGAGATACAAACTTGCAATTATAAAATAAATTACTTCTGGGGATGAAAAGTACACCATAGGGAATATAATCAATAATATTGTGATATCTTTTTATAATGACAGATGGTAATTACACTTGCGGTGAACATCTAGTAAAGTATATAATTGCTGAATTGCTATGTTGTACAAATGAAACCAATATAGTATTGTATCTCAAGTATACTTCCATTAAAAAAAAAATAAACAGGTTTTGGAGATCAATGATGTGATTACACCTAACATTAATCGCAGTAAAACAAAGCTCTAACTTTAGACTGCAAAATATGCATTTCTTACTATCATGAAAAAGTAAGTGCGGAGGAATCATTTGAAAAACAAGGAGAGGGGCATTTGGGGGCCAGTGAGGAGAGGGATCTTCCTGCATCCCCCATCATTCGCTGGGAAGAAAAACCTAGGGTAGGCTAGACCTCTTCAGGAAGAGAAAAACAAATGTTTCCATCTACCAACACCAAAAATGCATTTAACCAACAAAGAGGAAATATGAACTCACCTAATTTGGGCTTTAAAATGTGCAAAACATTTTTCCTCCTCAAGAACCTTCTTTTGGAGAACGGCAGGACTGGGAAAGAAGGAACTCATGAGACACCAGGCCTTTCTTGGAGCCCAGACAGACCGAGACAAGCCCTCCAGGACCACATCTGCCCATGGGAGACGGAGACGGGGACAGATTCCTAGGTCAGTGGTATGGGAATGCTGTGGTTCGAGGACAGTCTCCCATGAGTCTGTCCCAGGGACATTTCTAGCTCTAAAAGTCCCGTCCCAAGCCCAGTCTGTGCATTCTTGCTGGAAACCATCCTATAGCTCAAAATGTGACTTGTCGTCTTAGGGACATCGCCTTTTGCTGACACTTGGGGCTGTGAGGGCAGGGCGGGGGGCAGCAGCAGCAACGTGGGTCCGTGACACACACCACAGAGCCAAGCACCAGCCAGCCTCACAACCGCACCCACCGGCAGCAGGCCTGACCGGGCAGTGACAAGCGCGCACACAAGCACACACCTCGCCGGTCACACACACACACACAATCCCCCTCTGCCCCTCACGCACACACAGGCCTGAGGCTCCGGGCACGTTGCGCCCTAGAATCCTCACTTTGAAGACCAGCTCCATTCCCAGCCGCGATTAACTCACCAGCGGGCTGAACCACCCAAAGCGCACGGCCTAGGGCCCTCCGCGTGGACTAACACCGTCCCCCGGGGGATTCTGGGAAATGTAGTCTATAGCCGGAAGCCGGTGGGTTTGCGCTCTGAAGGCGCAGGCGCGCGAGTGAGACAGGCGGCCCCAGCCCGGGTTCCGGGGAGCTGCGCCCTAAGACGACTGGAGCTCACGGTCCTTGCAAGCTGGGTTTCGCCAGACCGCCGGAGTGTGGATCAGGTAGGAGGTGGTGTGTGTCAGAACCCAGGAAGGGTGAGGAAGCATCTGTACCAGGGAGGGGACGACAGTAGTGAAGGCAGTTTTTTACACACGGGGACTGGTAGGAGCCAGGCTTCTCCCTGTCAGAGCAAGGAAGCAAAGCTACCAAAAAGACAAAACTAGGATGAACCTTGTGATGTTAGGTGTCATGGTACATTACTAGATGTAATGGAATGCATTCACAATAATCTATAGAGATAGATATAAAAATAAATATAAGCAGTTGCTGGGCCACTCCGGTCACAGCCAGCTCACTTCTGAGAGTAGTGTCACCCTGCTGTTCCTTGCAGGGCCCTGGGTTTCAGGTTCTGCTTGGCCTGATGTGTCCCTGCTTCAGCAGGAGTCCGTGCTGAATGTGTCCACTTCTGTCCTGTCACATAAGGTAGTGTCTGCACCTTACGATCCTGAAGACAAGGTGGAACGTCCAAGTAATGTTTAAGGGAAATTTGTGAGGGCAAGTTAAAGGAATGCTGAGTCATTAGGACATTGTGCACCATAGTCTTCTGGCTGAAAGTTACCATGCTTCTTCATCTTCCTTCCTTGGAGGCTGACATGCAAGACAGTGTTTGAATCATCTGGTGAGCATCCTGGAACAGGCTGTGGTGTGATCCATGCCATCAGGACGTCTGGTCTGTGCAGAGTGTGGTGACATTTGCTCTGTGTTCAACAGAGGCTTTTTAAACTGCTTGGCAGTATGTGCACTGTCATCTCATCTGAGATATGCATACAAACTCTGAGTAGTACCCAAAGGAAATGTTATTAGACGTGCAAAATCTGTGGAAATGATCAATGACTGACATATGTCCAGAGTGTTGCTCTATCAAGTCAGGGTGCACTCTTGGTGGCAGCAGTCGCAAAAGGTATATCCAGAAGACGGATCATCACTGCCTAAGGGCAAACAATTGTGTAGGGATTTCTTTTTCAGCCAAAACTTACTCCCTGGTCCTTGGATGATGTTTATACAAGTGTTATATTTGTAAGTTGTTACATTATACATTTATATTTTGGGTACCTTTATGTGTATTACCTTTTACAATTAAAAACAAATACAAAGGTTTATGTGTATTTAAATTTTTTCTTCCCCATGTTTTTGCAAAGTGGAACAGAGAAAAGATACATGTTTCCCTTGGCAGGAAAACACTTGCTTTAAGGACTCCAGTTCTAAGATGTAAGAGTTCCCAGGCTGTTTAGCAACTGTTCAGTCTTACTATTTCCTCTTAACAGAGTAAATGTAACTGAGGACCGGAAAAAGCAGTCCCTGACGTTCAGGAACTGGCCTGACACTTAGTAGGCCTCTGGTATTGAAAGCTTGCCTGGTGCTCACAGCTAGGCCATGTTGTTCTCCATGGACATAATCTCATAGAACACCATAATCAAGGTCACTCTGAGACTGTGATGATGGGAGATGAAACAAGGCCACTTCATAATTTTGTCTAAGCACAGACAATTCAAGATCACTGGGGAACCCACACGATACACCACATATCCCCACCTCCAGCTAATGTGTCTGCTACTTCTTACTGATTATGGCTCTAGCCTCACTCTGTGTGCCTTCATATAGGTGCTATTTATTACAGTGTCCAATCATATTAAAATTCTTTTTGCTTCCTGACAGTATCCAATCCGGAGCAAAGTCCTGCTTCCTGAAACCCTCACCCAAATCACCTACCACAAGCTCAAGTCCTTTAATAAGCCTTTTCTAATAACCTCTTCCTGAGATGCTGCACAGTTCCTTGTGGTGTGCATTCTCCTTCATAATGAGAACTAAGCCCAACTGATTGACTACAGGTGTGTTCCTGGGTTCCTGGCTGAAGGGCATTGACATAATAAATGTCTAGTTAATTATAGCATTATTATTGTGGCAGCTTTGCTCTCAGTGGTCTTCACCCGTGCTTACTCTCAAAATGCAGAAAGTAATTTTGAAATACGAAGCACTGCTCTGGAGGCCTTGGACCCCTAGAGGAATTGTCTCAACGTCACTCTTGACTAGTAGTTTGGGGTCACTTGACCTAAATGAAATGGATAAAGGCCCTGTAAAGCATCATGTGGATGAATAGAGAGAAAGCATGGCTGCCTCCTCTGGGATTTCCATGTCTTCTCAAAGATTCTTCAAGAACTTTAAGTTGGGTAAGTGGTTGGGGCAAATGTAAAGATGACTTGAGAACACTAGAGAACATTCTATGCCAATTATCTGTCAGATTCCTTATTATTTTTCAGAGACCAAAATTCAACGCTGAGTCTCTCAAGCAGAAAAAGTAGACCTTATTATTAAAATACAACATTGGGATTTACTTAATGACAACAGGGACCCCAAGTCTGATTCATCTGCCAAACAGCAGTCACTCCCTCCAGAGTGCTAGGGAAAATGGGGTGGTGAGCTAACAATTCTCAGCAGCAGAATAAGCCAAAGCACCAGATTACAGTTCTGCTGAGGGAACAGTCCGTCACACGGACTCAGGGACAGTATCTTGCAAAAGGAGAGCCTACAGTTGTTGGAGAGGACTTGGGTTTTCTCTCTCACCTAACTAGTTATATGCAGTTTATCATGTGTATGCTATTTCACATACACCCTCTTCTCACTGTCTCTGGGATTGATGAGGACTCTTGAGTGACGGAGTTTAAGGCAGATGCTACAAGTTCTCTGCCGTCAGATGGGATGGAAACAACTGCAAATCCTCACTCCACAAGGGATGTTCCATTCGGGTTGTGGCAATATCCTCTCGTTTTCTTTGCTGTCAGTCCTGGGATACATGGCCTTGTTCTGTTTCTAATCTCTTCCTTTATCACTGAGGTTTAGGGTGTCTTGTCACTTCAGCAGTTTTCCTCCTTTATCCCCACACTTGCAAGTATCTACTGGCCTGTAAGATCTTTTTTCTTTTCCCTGTGATTTTGTTACTGTCATTTTTGAAGTACCTAGTCTTAGGGTCAAGTATTATATGAAGTGTATAAAACAAAAAGCATTCCCATAGTCCCCTGCCTCATATTTCCCTACTCCCAAGAGGCTCTACTTTCCATCTTTTGTTTCTTTTGAAATTTACTTCCTTGTTTCCAAATTATATAAACTCATCAGTTTAGGGCTTTAGGTAGCTTAACAACCCATTTTCCTCTCACCTCTTATGCTGCCAGTTTCCTCAGAAGGAATTCTTCAGTTGCCTGCCCAGGGTGCTCATTTCATCCCCATCTTCAGCATGGCACCCCTCTTGTCCATGCTCCAGGCCTGCCCACCCAGACAGTTGGCCCAAATTTCAAAAGTAAACCCGTGGTCTGTGCCACGCTGGAGAAGGGTCAGGGGCCTGGAGTTGCAACAGCTTGTTTACTGCTCGCCAGGTTCTAATTTTTATATGGCCTTTCCAGAAGTTTTCTTGTTTCCAGCCCTCACCTTCATTAAGTGACCTGATTTTGTCTCTGGGCCTCCCTTGAGTTCAAGTCCATGCTTCCTCAGGTGTGCTCCATCAGTGAACAGGTTATCTGTCTTTCCAAAACTGTGTTGCTGCCATCTCCTCTGTCTTCCTCTATGTCCTTATGAATTTACATTTTACTCTCATTTTGAGGTCCCAGGAGGGAAGAAAAGAACTTCTCTGTTCAACCTGCCATGCTTATCTATGGAGGAATCACCCATCCCTTCAAAAATGTGATTCCCAACTATTTTTCCTTGTACCTCCTTCCCATCCCACTCCCAAATATACAGTGACGTTCATATATTTGTTCAAGAAGTACTGAGTATGTACCATGTGTAGGCACTGGGATTTGAACTGTGGTCAAACTACAATCCCTGACTACAGAGGTTCCAGTCTGGAGGAGGGAACAGACAAGCACATGAGAAAGTCTAAGGGGCTGTAAGAAATGCCAAGCAAATCATGTGCATGTGCCAGGGGAGTACAGGGGAAGGGTTCCTTCCCAACGTGGGGCATCAAGAAAGGCTGCCGAGGAAAGACAAGTGAACAAAGACCTCAAAAGAGGGTGGGAATTAGTCCAGCCAAATGTGTCTGTGGCCCAATGAGACAAAAAGACCCAAAGACATTCCCAGAACCCAGGCATTCAAACCTTCCTCCCAGCCTACTCATCCCTGCTCTGGAGGACTCTGCACGGCCATCTATCCCTGATCCTCTGAGTGTGAGGAACACAGGAATCACCACACTCAATTGGCCTTGTACCGGTAGGAAATGGGGGTGGAGAGAGGAACAGGGGCTTTAATTCGCCATAAAGGGCTGCAGTCTGAGGCTCATTTTCCATCCATTTCCCCAAATTTATGAAGACATTTGGAACAGATTCTTTGCTTCCCTCTCAAGCTGTAACCTGGGCCATATACCTTACCCACTCATCTGTCAGGAAGGCAGGAGGGACACAGGGGATCCTGTTTAAAGCCCAGATACTCCAAAGGAGTTGAACTTCTAAGAATAAATTAAACAGATTCAATCTTGTATATTTATTGAATACACCAATCCTGGATAAAGGTAAGAGAACTAGGTTTTGGGACAGAGGTCAGGGAAGTGAAAGAAGTCCCTGGCCCCTGTGGTGTGGAGAGAGAGGTCACTTGTAAAATTCATGCTCCTGCTCATCCTTCTTGATGACCGTCTTGTATGCTTTCTCGAAGTCCTTGGCCAGAACAATATAGCGGTTCTCACGGACAGCCAACATTCCACTCTGAAGGAAGGACAAGAGTTAAAATCTATTCCTGTGCTCCCCACTGATGGCAAAGGAACAGAGAGCTGGGCCCACACCCCAGGCAGGCAAAGAAGGATCGGAGCTGTAGTCTCAGAGAGGAGGAGTCTTTATATATACACCCCATGCCAGATGCAGAGAGAGACCGGCACCTACCTCCTGACAGATGGAGTTGATATCAGCTCCTGAAATCTTGTCTGGTCTGGCGACATCTGCAGTGGGTGAGTTAAGGAAACCACTCCCTGCATGATGGGGTGAGTGCCTGGAGCTGGAAGTCAGCCTGGGGCTGTCTTTTTCACCACCCTCTCATCTGGGGCCTTGGTCTCCTACCTGCATAGTGGAGGTTGTGGTCACAGAAGAGGTGGAGATGAAGATCCAATCCTCATTCCCAACCAAGAACCTTCCCTTGCTTCTAAAGCAGGATACAATCTTCCAAGTCAACCTCCTCTGAGAGATTCATTTTGCTGGTAATAGTGGAGAAAATCAATCTCTTCTGGCGGCGGTCAGGAAGTGGAAATTCAATTTTACGGTCAAGACGTCCTGGCCGCAGCAGGGCAGGATCCAGGGTGTCTGCTCGGTTCGTGGCCATAATCACCTGGCATTCGGAAGGCTAGCTCAGACCCCTATCCCCACTATACCCTCCTTCCCATCATACCTGCCTCCCTCACATGCCAGCCTCCTTTCCCTGATTCCCACAGTACACCTCCCCATCACAAACCCCAAACCTTGACATTGACATTCTGGTCAAATCCATCCATTTGATTGAGCAGCTCTAGCAGGATTCTTTGAACTTCTCTGTCAGCTGGCATGTGTACAACACGGTTAGTACAAGACATCCAGTATGGCAAGCCTGCCCAAGGCCCCAGGCCCTGTTTGGGCATCACTCACCCCCTGTCTGGGCATCAAATCTCTTGGTGGCAATGGCATCGATTTCATCTATGAAGATGATGGCAGGTGCGTTCTCCTTGGCCAGGCGGAACACATCTCGGACCATTCGAGGGCCCTCACCCAGGTACTTCTGTACAAACTCCGACCCCACGACCCGGATAAATGCAGCTGATGGCAGGACGACAAGGGTTAGATAAGGATGGGCCTTCCACAGGGTTACGGTTCAGCCTGCTTCAACTGAAACTGAATTCCCTGAGGACATGCCTTTCTTGGACGCCCACTCCAAGTAGCCAGGTCATTCTCTCATGTCCAGGCTGGACCCAATCCAGCTGGGACAGTCAACCATCTGTTTGCACCCCACAGCTAACTAGCATCCCAAATCATGAATCCTGCCTGCACACTATGTTTGACCCAACATTTAAAAATCAGGATATTAAAAAAACCAAAGGTGTCTGTGCTCCAACATGCCTTTTTGGAGAGCTAGAGATGGTCATGGAATTCAAGATT